TCAACAGTACTGCTTTCAAATACTTTCTTCAGAGTTTCCATACAGCTCATGCTGAAATATCTCAGCCAATACTTTCATTTCTTTACATTGTGACATGTGGTATTTATGTCGTGAGTACGTTCACAATATTACTGCTGGGGATAATGAGACTGCTGTACTTTTATAGACATTATACTGGTGTGAAACTGTTCGGCTGGTTGGATGACAGCCACTCGATGTAAGCTATCAGAACGTGACTACTCTAGTTCATTCATTTTTGTACAACATAGAGGACGAAATGGCATAATGTTTGCATTTTATACCCCTTTTAAACACCGTTTCCAAAATGTTTCCCAATAATGTATGTACATTTGTACACATACACATACACAATACAAACACAAGTGTATATATATATATATGTATACGTGTATGTAGGTATGTGATAAACACAACTAAAATAGAGAAATAGAGAGTTCATATTCGGTAGTGTTTTCATACTTTCTAATTTTACGTGTCTTAAAAGAAGCCTTGATGTCTAATGTTTGAATTCTATCCTTGGAAAACGTCTGTGCTTTAATACTGAATGCTATGTTGCTTCAAGCTGTGGGGAAGGTATTGCCTAGACATGTGTCAAATATTTTGTTACTGGAATTTTACTGCATATGTGAACAGAAAATCTATTAAAATCAATATAAGTAAAAAAAGGTGTCACAAACATCTTTGTTTAAAGTTAAGAGTAGATATAAATATAGATAGTTCAATAAGTTAGTGTCGTCAAGGTTACCTTTTCAGAGAGAGAGAGAAAGGTGTTGATCTGAGGATCAATTAACGCCGGTGGTCAGTTGGACGAGATATCTGCCAAATTTTCTGGCTCAACCGTTCATTTGTTCTTGGTAAAACTATTGATTCTGTCAGCCAGTTTACCTCACAAACTATTTCCCTACCCATGAGTCATTAAGTCAGTTATCTTTCTATTAATTTACATTTCTCTCTCAAAATATGCACATTGTCCAATGTATCTCTTTTAGTTAATCAATATGTCTATTTGTTTTTGTATTTATGTATGTAAAAAGCCACCGGGAAAAAGCGGAACTCGGGTTTTGACAGCTTAGAATTGATACTTTAATTACTACTAGAAACTTGGTACTTAAAGCGTCTTGTAAAAGCATCCACCAAAAATCTATTTATTTATTTAATGTATAACTCATCTAACAGTGTAGAAGACCTTGGTAAAAAAGTTTAGTAAATTAATTTTTATAGAAATAAGCCGTGAGATAGTACACGTAAGTCAGGTATGGTAAAAGGATTATATCATTGTTACAAAAGCTCGTGCATGCGAGCAAGACTATATAGGATTTATAATCAACATATATATATATATATATATATATGTTGCTTTATTCATTTTCGGATACTTTAAAAGAAGCATCACCTATGAACTGAATATTATACAACCACACTCTTAGTGAAAGGTTTGCGTTGTAAGTAATAATTTTCACAATTTATGCAATCGAAAAGTATCATCATTTAATCATTAAGATTTGTTGTTAAGTGTAAGATGTACAATTGGCTATCTGCATTGTGCCCATCGTAAGGAACAAACCTTGAACTTTAGTGTTCTAAGCCCTCAAGATTATGCTGAGCTACCGGGGAAGTTACAATTAAATGGAATTCATTTCAAAAGAAAGAAGATTCGTAAGATGTACCCTTGTAAGAGGATACGGGGAAAAATCTTATAACAAACTTTTACAGCACTCTGAAACACTTACTTTCTGCTCACTTGTGTTTTGAATTTCATCTTTCTTAAATATTACTTTTGATTGCTCTGCCTTACACTTAATAGTAATGTTTGCCTCAAATACACTTGTTGTTTGCCCTAGGTTAATCTATTTGTCTTATTTACTCTTATAAAATTATTTTAATTCTGTCATTACTCAAGATATTCTCTGATATATATATACAAAACACCCAGTGCCTACACTTCCAAGAAATAATTAAATATTGAAGAACCAAACAGAAAAATGCTCCTTTTCTATTTCGTGTTTTATCAAAAATTTATTTTCAGCCGGATTAAAGCCGTTTCAACCCGTAAAAATGCTAGTCCTTCAACCTTACGGGCACAGATTTGTACTCTACTAAGGATAGTGTGTTTGATATAGTATCTATTTCTCAAACCACGTCCACGAGTAATCGAAAAATTTATGGTGTTATTGTAATGGGGTTTAAATTGCCAACTTTTGATTTTTAGTTAAAGTTATTCACAATCAGTAGCAACACAGTAAAAAAAGAAGTCAACCTTACAACGTAACTGTGATGTTTCAATAATAATAAAAAAAACTTTATGTAATCATCTGTAATTCAATATTAGTTTCGAGCCACTGCCGATGGAAAGAACAACAATATATATCCGAATATGTAAGATTAGAGGTAATTTATTACTTAATATGTTTTGATTATGAATACAGTGATTGGTTCAAGCGTGGTATTGTGGTTAGATTATTGGATTGCAGATCCGGGGGAGTCTCAGGTTCGAGACGTGGTGCTACCAAACATGCATAACACTTTCGACTGAGACTGCATTATAAGAATAACAGTTCTGCTGCTTGGTTAGGAATAGCTGCTTGAGGCGGTAGATTCTGTTGCTTTTCGTTTGGTTCACAGCTCAAAGTTAAGAACGGCTATTCCTGAACCTAAAAGTGTTTCTGACCTGGCCGTTGTATGCATATCGTACCCTTGAATAGGGTACAAATTAATATACAGTGAAGTGCATATAGCATTGTCACAAACTTTCATGACAACTTTTAAAGGAACATTTGAAGAAACATTCATTTATTTACAGGATATAGAAAAATAAGACGAATAAACATAAATTAAAAAGCTTAATAAGTTTTATAAATTAGCTGAACATATGTTTTGAAACACTATACATGTATACACATAGTTATTAACTTATTTAATTAAAATGTGAGCTTTGACATTCAGTATTTTTCTCAATTTAAGTGATTATCTTTATGATTGTTATTTAATGAGACAACCTTATTCAAGTTCACTGTATTAAACGTAAGAATAAGAACGTTGTAAAATATTTCTTGTTACGCTTTGAAAATGTGTATAAGGCCAATACTGAACTGTAATTTTCTGTCGCATTTGTGGATGAGAATGGTGACACATTCATCTTGAATTGGATGCCAATTCATCATAAGCTAAATCCCAGTTACCCGCTAGTGCCCATTATACAGATGGGTAGACAGAAGCAATTTGGGTAAAGCATCTTGTTCAAGATTACATAAATATATTGCAGGCAAGTCTCGAATCTGCAACCTTACGACTACAAGTCCAAATCACTAACTACTGGGCCCCATAAGAAAGTTATGTGTGTCGTTCTTGTATAATTTTATATGCTTGCATTGATTTGCATATGTAAATTTCGTTATTTTAATGCAAAACAACATTACAAACTTGTAGACCGACTAAGTGAAATGCTTAGTAAAATGGTCAAAGCCTATCCTAAATCCACTGTGTTGACCGAACCTCATAAGGTGTTAATTGGGTTTTGGCTGGAAATACCGTTAACAATAAGAGTTCAACCAAGTATTGGTTACTATAATCTTTTATATATTTATGTACATATTTTGTACGTATATGTATATTAAATAAGCAATATACCTGAAAATTCGTCATGTGATCTAAATGCAAATCGCTGGTCATAACAGTGATATGAAAGTGATTGACATTATTTCGTAACAGCAGTTTTGCTTTGCTTAGCTATTGTATTAGAAATGTCTTTCATTGTTTTAGTGTAGTCGACCGGTATCATTTGACATGCTGAAGTTGATAACACTATACCCTAGACTTGAAGTATAACCAAATACTGAGAATGAAACTTAATTTTTGTGCTTTAGAAAGAAATATGTGGTGAAACTCCCAAGCAGGATGGGAGAAGAATCATGCCTTAACCTATGTATCCATGTGCTTAAATCTAAGTATCACGTGTTACAATTGGACAAACTTGATTAGAAAAGCTGAGCGCTGTATGTAAACTAATCAGTAAACAATGTAAGATGTTCTTAATTTTATTAGTTTCCAGTACTTGTACCTCCTCGTTGTAATATTAAAACTTCCATCCTTTCTTTAGTTCTATCCTCACGAGGCTTCTTCCTTTGTTATCCCCACAGGATGTATCCTTAAGCAGATACAAATTAAAATTTATTATGGCCCTTAAGTGAATACGAATAAAACTATACTATGATTCTCAACAGTTGCGAAAGACTTATCTAGAATAACAAGAAAAATTAATAGTTTTATTTCATGAAATTATTCTACTAGTTATAGAGAGGGAGATTCCCTTCACTACAATAAAGATTCTTGCAAAGCCAGTATAATGTTTCTTAATCTTTGTATAGAGTTTTTCAAACGTGTATGCCCTCATTAAACAAAGAAACGTTATATTTTCACGTTTATGCATTCATAAGTAAGAATTACATACCTTCACCTGGTGAAACCATTCGCTGGATATTGCAAAGCTGCTTGCTTGGTAAACGGAATAATGATATTCATAAAACTGTTGAATCAGCGTTTTTACGGAGCTCTTTTATCTCTTAATATTTTAACACACGTCTTTGATCCTACATTCCACTGAGGTACACAATAGTTTTTTGTTGTTGTACTCTTTAATATGATTTTTGGAGTATATTATCATGTCCATGTTTCTCAGTTTTCCACGTAATTCTACTTAACACTATGCGTGATAATTTTTCAGTACTTTGTGCTCTTTCCACGTGAGGGCTCTTCAATCGTTTGCCGTTGGCGAATGTCTCCACCACAGCTCAGTAGCAGCACGTGTATTTCGAGAACTTGGAGAGACGAAGTGGCAGGCGTTGTAAATAGTTTCCCGTAGGGTACCGACTTTGTTTGAGAACCACGCCAGTAGAACTTAATGTCACAGCTTATTCGTTGGCTGGCTGTAAGCCTCCCTCACATGAAGTCAGTCGTATATTTCATTTTCAATATCTTATGTCATGGCAACGTCTTCAACCAATCATACAGTAGAAGTACCGGAAAACGATACTATGAACCGCTGTCAGAAGGTAAAAAAATAAACTGTTTTTATTTGAGCTCTTATAAGTGTTACCTTACATATTTGCGAAATAATTATAGAAAAAGCCAAATATACGTATTTGTATTTACTTGTTCCCAGTTTACCCCTGAAGAAGAAAAGTCCATGTTTCGAAAACACTCGAGTTATATGGTTTTTATCATCTTGTATCAAGATTTCTTGAACCTACGTGTTTTTTTGACATCATGAATGTATTTACTTGTAGTAACTTAAGACATTTTTATCTGATGAGCAAAACACTCTTGTGTACGACATTTACGATCAATTTATAATAAATTATCATGAATGTATGCTAGAGAAAGAGAAGTTAATACTTTAGCTTTTTAACCACTTTAACTTTTATTTGTATAACATTTTACCTCTAAGATGCAAAGAATGTTATAGAATTTTCAGTTTATTTCATGATTATTTAGCAAACTGCAGATTTAAGTTGGAGATTCAGGTAGTTAACATATTCAGTATCCCTGATAGCACTTACAGTGCGAATCAGTTTGGGACAGAGTGGTAAGGTAAGACATAATTTCCTACCGGTCTACTTTCATTTATCTAACCAGGCGTTTCGTATTGATGTAATATTTCACGAAATTTTTATTTCAAAAGCAAATGCATTGCAATACGAAAAGGTATGGTTAAAAACTTTAATAAGTTTTTGCATAATGTTATAAAACTTGGAACAATGTACATATAATGACAACAAGATCTGAACATTAATTTGAACTGCATTTGAATTTTGTAAAATAATTCATAGGCTTATGCCACAGTCCTAGTTTTTTATACAAGAGGACTGGGCATGGTTCTTGTCCGGTTGGCGCAAAATTGCACTCCCTACTTTGGAGTTATGGGTGCATTATAAGAGTGACATTCAAATCTCACTGTTACGTAGTAGCTCAAGAATTGACAGTTGGTTTTGTTCACTAGCTGCCTATTCTCTAATCTTTAATTTTTTAATTATAGCTTTACACTAATACCAGAAACAAAGGCCTGATATATATGTGTGTGTTTGTGTATACTATTTATTTGGAAAAAGAAAACCTAAATCTTCATAATTTTTTGCTAGATGAATGTTTTAGAAAAGAAAACAAGAACTGATTTAAATTATACTTTACACAAAGATAATACCACACTAATTAAAGAAACAAACATTATTATTTTTTGACCATTTCTTTTTTTTTCTTCAAATTAATCTCTGTTTTAAAATTATCGTGCAAAGCTACAGGATAATTATTTGGGTACAGCTGTCCCAAATTTTGAACTGATTGACCAGACGGAACGAAGCTACCCAATCAACATCAACTGCACATAATCTTCAATCGATTGACCGTCTTCCTTATAACGTACTCACGACCCCAAAGTGCGGCCTGCGTTTTTGTGGTAGAAAAACGGTGAACCATGAACTCTCCAATTCACAGTACTAATACACTAATCAAATAAGATTAGATATAGTTTGAGCTATGTTATTTGTCGGTAAATAGAGCTGGTATCTGAGGGATGGACGCGGCCACGTCGACACATTGAATTATAACAATAAAGAAATGTTTAACAACACTATAGGGACAGAGATCTTTTATTCATTTCATGGATTTTAAAAACACTAGACTTAAATAATGTGTAAATTTATAAACATTGTGAGACACGTGACCAATAAAAAACTATCCAGATGAAAATGTTTAGTATTGCATTTATTTTCACGCAAAGCTATACAGCGGGCTATTTGCGCGTAGCCATCCCTAATTTTGAACTGACAGACTAGATGGAAGGCATAAAAGTTTGGAGACAGCTTGACTGGCTAACGATAAAACTATATTGTAAATGTACGACGTTTCGACAATATTATCTCATCCTCGTAACATAATATTGTCGAAACGTCGTACATTTACAATGAAGTTCTGTCATTACCCAGTCAAGTCGTCTCCAAACTTTTATTTCTAAAAAGTGGGTTCCTCGTCATCAAATTCAAATGGAAGGCAGCTGCTAGTCAACAGCACCCACGACCAATTCTTGAGCCATTATTGCCTGAGTAGTGGGATTTGGTCGTCATTCATATAGCGCACCCAAAGACTCAAAGTGCAGGGCGTTTTTTTTCGACAATGAGACGAGAACCATGAACCCTAAGATTTCCATGCGGACACGCTATTCACTAGGCTACTCTCAACTATTTCAAATTTAACGTCAAATTTATGTGTGAATATTGAAATACTTTTGATAATTTAGTGCTCTATATAGTAATGCCCGTATTTATGGGTTTGTCGCTCCATCTTGGTTGACATCACGTTGCTGATGTGACAGTACATATCTTTATTTAACAATTTATCAGTCTGGAAGGACTTTATTAGGAAAAATTACCGGTTCATTTCGCTTCAGTGCCGCACATCGATAAAAACTGGATAAAACGAATCAGAGATAAACAAACTCTTGCCATATATTTTGCATATAGCTAATCCGTAGCTCAAAAATTTATATGAAAACAAAATATATTATCTTCTTAACTACAAATTACAACATATCGCGTTATGAAGATTGAAATTCTCCGCTTAATATGACGCACCTGCTACAATGCCAAACTCACTGATGTCAGAAATTAATTATCCGGAGACAGTATTTTCATCCCAGGTGACCACCTATGATTCTCAACGCCACTGTTTGCTGTATACAAATCTATGGATGGAAATCTGGGAATTGTTTTCTCCATTCCCTCACAAAGTTCGTATTCCAATTGGATCAGTTTGTTACTTTGGCAAGGTAAGCAAGTAATCAGTTCCTCTAGATAGTTCCACATATATTATATAGAAACGAGATCCAACAAAAACGGTGGCTATCCTGTTCCGACAATATTTTGCTGTTTAAAGTAGATTGTGTCTATACGTATACTGTGGGGACCCACATTATTGCCCACATAAAAAAATCTGATTCAAGGGTACCAGCAAAAAGTCTATAAATGATTGGTAGGATCTCATCCACAAAGTCATAACATTCAAGTAACATTCCTAATAGTGCACAGATCAATATTCCAATAAAAGTAGTTGCCTTCCCACACCACCAGAGACCCAAATGTGTCATGCTCATTTACCGTGCAGTTGACACAGAGCTCCCCATACTGTCTCCACACACGACGATGGTATCATGGAAATCAAAACATAACATGGAGGTTGTATGTGACTGCTTTTAAGTGCAGTAACATTTATTTGCACATATATTTAGTATTTAGATATACTGCATTTGGATTCTAAGTATAAAGTTGATGCTACTCATTTGAAACTAGTGTGTCAAAACCTATCTTATGTTATTTAAGTAGTTTGCTGACGTGTTTCTGAGCAACACCTTTTCTATTCAATTTGTCTTCGAAAAGTTGGTGTAATTCTTTTGAGAATGAACTTCTCTAGCCTCTCTTACCAGAATTATAAAACTTTCTAGACACTTTGAAGAAAAATATGTAGGGATTACAAGGCAGTTTTTCGGAAAATGCTGTAACTTTCGATGTTGTTATTTTAGTAATTTACCAATTCAAGGTAAAGTAGAATATGTTGTACTTTTCGACTCTTGCTGTGCTGTAGGCTAGAAAGAACCTTATAACCACCTTTCACAAAGCATTAGTTGTTTGAACACGTGAACTACGTTACCTTCTGAACATTTTTGTAGGCGTGATCATCGATAGAGTAAAGAAGCTAATAGAAACTGTGTTAGCAACGCTTTCAGGTGTCTAGACATAAATACATGACGTAGCATCTGTTAAATCATGATCAGAGAGGTAGAATGCAGGTGTATAGGCTGAATCAGAGCTGTTTAGGATGCACCCCTACACACAACGGTTCTCTAATGGGCGCAGACAGCAATTATAATCAGAGAACACGGGTATAATTATACATTTATTGTATCGGATAAATGGAAAGTTTTTAGAAGTAATTAACGATTCACTGTTATATGTTGTACTAATTAAACATAGCTACATTCTACCAAAGATATGATCTTTCGAATGAAGGTAGTTAGTGAAATAGTGACACGAAGACGCCATCTTTAAAACTCAGATATGCACTCGAATTTAATAGTTTTCTAAGAGAAACACCCCATTCACATTTTTATCAACAATCTATCTATGGTTTGTGTGCGTTTATATATCATATTTATTCCATTTGCCATATTTTAATTATCATTCATCATTTTCTACTGTTTATATATTTGCTTCGTATGCTGTCTGCTTCTTGAAATCAACTTCATCTCGCTCCATCTACAGACAGTGATATTCATATTGATCCTTCTGTTTTACTATGTTTGCTAACAGATGGAAGTTGGAACAGTTTAATGACAGCAGTGAATATCGTGTACTTGTTTACTGTAAGCTACTGTAAAGAAGGAGCGTTCAAGAGAAACGGAACTAGTGTTTTAAAAAACATAGAATGTGCATAAAAATACGTGCAAATATGATTTCTAACAGTTATTTGTCAAAATCGACGTCGTGTGGTTATGAAGCATTAAAATAATCAATTCACTTGTTTCTACAAATCAAAAACTAGGAAGAGCTAAAAAATATGATAAATAACTGTTTCTTTTTTAAGTTTACGAAATACTTCTTATTTTTCAATAGGTAGTAACATTTATTTACGGGTAAGATAGTATAAAACAAGCACTAAACTCACGTATATTTGAAACGTATAAAAACAACTAGATTTTAAATGTTAGTACTTAGTTTTATTCAATACTTAACCCTTTTCATCTGATAACGAAAGAATCTATGGAACGTGTTGTTGTTTGTCTATTGGGCAACAAACACCCTTCTTTTTTGTCTTTAAACGTATAAAATTACGAACTACACTATTGTTTATCTATAAATGTATAAATATATAGATTACAGTCTTGCTGTTTGTACAATATGTAGATCTACAGATTACCATTTCTTTTTGTGTGCCCTCTAGCGGATGAATTTATGGGAGTAAAACATACTTCTCCATTTTCTAATTTGTGAATGTGTCTAGGACA